TGAGAAAGACTTTGCGAACTATACGTGACTTATGCACATCATCCGTTTTACGCGTTATTCATTGCTTGTATGCGTCCCTTAACTTTTGTTTTTCATATCATGAGTAAAACTCCACTTATATCGATCAAGTTGATCATTGAAATTTCACCACCTGTTTTACTAAGTGAAGTGGAGGCGTAATACTCTGTGGAAACGCAGTGATATGTAGTAGTCGTGAAATATTTATTTTCTAGCGTTTTTCATATCACGGTCGCGAAACACCAGTTGTTAACAGGTCCGTTTTGGTCCCCATATTGTGCTGAAGCTGATGACTACTGTGACACGTTGAGGACGGTGGTGACTCCACTCGATCAGAATAGTTCTCTGCTGGCAATGCAGTCACACTTGCGAGAAACACGGAATGATTACGAGGTGTGGTAGGGGTTATGTAGTGACATTGTGATAATTTAGTGACACTCTCTGGGATGGAGTTCTTATTCTGGAGTTCTACCCATTTTACGTGAAGTGGCGTAATACTCTGTGAAAAAGGCGATATTTGCGGTGATATGCAGTAGTCGTGAAATATATTTTTTCGCTAGTTTTTTGCATGTGAAACTCCGATATTCATTCTGCATATGTGAACACCAATATGAGCATTATCCTGTTTTCCTCAGGCCTCCTCGTATATCGCATTTTCGCATTTGAACAACGCCACAGACTTACAACGTGAAGTGGGAGATCCGCTCGCCCGAACTGTCATGTGGCACAACCTCACAGCGACAGCGTCCTCGGCGATAGCGCTGAATGCATATGTGAATGCGTGGTTCGCGGCACATGGAGTTGATATTAAAGTAGGGAGGTCGCGGGATCGAATCCCAGGAGAGGCGTTTTATATTGGAGGAATATATATTTGATTTACTCAGCTGAGCTCGGGAGTTTATATACGAGTTAGAATAGAAGTATTGGAAAAACGAAAAAAAAATTCTTAAAATTTTCTGAGATTTCCTCACTAATTTCAGTAGTTTATATACGAGTTAGAATAAAGTCTTGGAAGAACGAAAAAAAGTCTTAAAATTTTCTAAAATTTCCTCACTAATTTCAGTAGTCTATATACGACTCAGAATAGAAATGTTAAGGAATCAAAGAAAATTTCCCAAAAATTTCCTCAGAATTTTCGAATTGTCTTGGACACATGTAGTTGACCATGTGTGCCTCACCTTACATTTGACTTTGAATATTCGCCCTCGGGTTTACTATTGTGCAGTGTGGGAAAATATGCACATGGTCAACCACATGCGTCGATGATAATATGAATTTCTTGAGCAAATTTTGGGAAGTTGTTATCATTGCTACGAGTTCAGGTAGAAGTGTACAAAAACCAACAGAAATTTCCTAAAATTTTCTCGGAGTTTTCACCACCACACTGTTGTTCGCAATTCGCCTTATTTCAGGTCACCGTCGTGAACCACCCGATGCCACAGACTTTATTCGAGCAGAATATAGCAGTAGTGGTGTCCGGAATTTTATCAACTATTGTAAGGGCGAATTTTGTGGCGCAGTGAAAAAATTAACTCGTTTGTTGAGAGCGATTTAATTGCCTTGTATTAGTAGTGTTGTTGTTGCCATATCAGGAGTATATGTTCACTTTCCTCAGCTGAGCTCAGGAGTTTGGGAAGGAATATTCAGAAATCAGCAAGAATTTCCTCGGAAATTTGAGATTGTCACCAACACAAACTTTCCAGAAATTAAAGGCGCTGAAAATAACGGTTTGGTTCACACTGTAACAGGGGTTTTATAACGTTATTTTGTTGTTTCTCAGGCGGTCATCTGGGCGTTTGCGTTTATTCCAGCGGGAATATGCAGCTATATAGTGATGGAAAAGGAGAAGGACGTTAAAGCACAGCTGGCTATATCAGGGTAACTCATTGGAGCTTCATCCGATTTACGTGAATTGGATTACTACTTTATGTGAAGAAGTGAATCGAAAATACTTGGTGATCTCAGTGATGTGTTTTACGCGTTATTCACTACTCACATGCGTTTTTCGCGAAGTGAAAAGGGAAATAGGTTTTTCACCAGTGTTTTTTATATCACAATCGTTTGCTTGTCGAGCGTTTTTATCCCTATCTGGAAAAGTATGAAAAAACGTGAAAAATGTGGGAATTTTTTCGAGGAAATTTCTTGAGTGGTTTCTGTACACTTGTTAAACCCCGTTTGTAACTTTCTGTAGTTGTTGAGGAAAGCGAATATTAATTCCCTTGCTCATCTACGCCCGATGTTGAAATATACGCCTGCTTTCCTCACCTGAGCTCAGGAGTTTCCAAAGCTAATTATGGGAGTTTATATACAAATTCGGGTAGAAGTGTATAGAAGCCAACGAAAAAATTCCAAGTTTTCTCCACATTTTCATGTTGTCACCAACACGATTCGATTTATTGGAGATCCACGATCCGTTTTACGTGAAGTGGCATAATACTCGGTGAAAAAGGCGATATTCGCGGTGAAATATGTTTTTCACTGCTGTTTTTTATATCACGGTCGTGAAACTCCATTGATTTTCACTCAGATGCTCTACCACGGCCTACTGGATAGCTCACTTCATTTTCGATACGGCTTTCAACCTGTTCACAGTTGCTGTTGCAATAGCAGTGCTGTATGCGTTTGATATGGAAGCATTCACAGATTCGGATAAAATCGCTCCAACGATTATGCTACTGTTGTTGTTCGCCCCGTCAGCCTCAACGTAAGCTGTGAAAGTAGAACTGGGGATCTTTTCAGTGGAGTTTCACCACCCGTTTTACTAAGTGAAGTGGGGGCGAATGTTCGCGTGAAATGTGTTTTTCATACCACAGCTGAAATTACAATATTTCAGGTACGCATATTTGATATCATTTTTGTACAAGACGCAATTCTCCGCGCAAACGGTGACGATAGTGCTGAACATTGCTGTTGGAACGATCGTGGTTATTGTGGTTTCGGTGCTACAAACGATTCCTGAGGAATTCTGCGAGGATTGTTTGGTAAGGCGAGGAGCGATATTATGTGTGATGCGAATCTATTTTTTCTGTAGTAGTGTTGGAGGAATATGCGTTTACTTTGTACAGAACTTTCATATTGTCACCAACATATATGGTTTAATGGAGTTTCACGACTGTGATATGAAAAACACTAGTGAAAAATATAATTTACGACTACTACTGGCCGCGAGTATCGCGTTTTTCACCGAGTTTTACGCCACTTCACGTAAAACGGGTGAAACTCCAATATATGAAAAATTATGCACATAATCATCAACTACATGTGTTGGAAATACTGGGAAAATTTTGAAGTAAACTGTTGTTGGTTTATGTACACTTTTACCCGAATTCGTGCATAAACTGCTATGATTACTAAGGAAACTTCTGAGCTCAGCTGAGGGAAAGATCATATATTTGTCCAACAGTGTTATTCCTACAATTTTTGTTATTTTCATTGGAAAGTGAAGTGGCAAGTGATATGCGCAGTAGTCGTGAAATATATTTTTCACTAGTGTTTTTCGTATCACGGTGGTGAAACTCCATTGATTTTTTGATTTAGGTTGCTGGCAACGTACTAATGTGGATATTCCGTTTCATCCCACCCTTCGCGCTGGGCTTTGGTTTTTATCGTATGGCAATTTATGTATCCTTTCTTGGAGTTGATCCATGGGGGTCGGAGATTTTTGGTGAGTATTAGTAGAATTTAGTGACAATATTAGTAGAATTTAGTGATAACATTAGTAGAATTTAGTGACAATATATGTATAAGCAGAATTTAGTGACAGTATATGTATTAGTAGAGTTTAGTGACAGTATATGTTTTAGTAGAATTTAGTGACAGTATGTGTACATAGTTTCACGTTTTATAAATCACATGAAGAACGCATCATCTGTTTTACGCGTTGTTCACTGCTTGTATGAATTTTTCGCGGAAGTGAACTGTTAAATATAGTTTTTCACTGTGTTGGTGACAGTATGAAAATTCTGAGGAAATTTTTGGAAATTCTTATTGGTTTCTGTTCACTTCTACTAGCCGAATTTCTATAATTAGTGAGGAAACTTTTACGCTCAGCTGAGGAATTTCAAAACCGTAATTTCAGTAACATTTGTGGACAGGTACATGTACGAACAAAACTCTGGGCACTCGAAATCAGTGTTACGGTGGAGTCGCTGATGACTTGGTGTATCTCGCGTTCGCCGGTATGGCATACCTCTTATTATGCATATGGTTGGATCATCTTGGCACGAGTGGTAAGTGGTTATCGTATAGGATGAAATTGGAAAAACGATGGTAAGTTGCGGTCGTTGTTGGGGAGAAGGAAATTATGATGCTTTTGGGAGAAAATTTGGAAAAAAACCGAAAATTCACGAAAAGAGAAAATTCGAAAATTATGAACTTGAGGTAGCAATTAGAGTTTATAGGAAAAACAGAAATGAGGAAAAAAGAAATTATGAATCATAAAAAGCCAGAAACTAAAAAAATATGAAATGAACTAAAAATTATGAAAAAAATAGAAATTATGGGAAAAACTAAAAAATATGAAAAAACAGAAATTAAAAATTAATAGAAAAACTTGGAATTAAAATTATGAGAAAAAACTAGGAATAAAAAGAATTACGAAAAAAGGTAGAAATTACGAAAATTGGAAATTATAATGCTCGTGATGGAAAAAATTCGGCATTTATGAATTTTCGTATTAGTCCGATACCCGAAGATCAGCTAGCGGCAGAAGATGAGGATGTTGTGGTAGAGAAAGAGCGAGTTGCGAAATTGGAAAAACAAAAACAAATTCTGGCAGTTGATAATGTCAGGAAATGGTAAACATTTAATTCTGATATTTCCTTTGAAGATTTTTGATGAAAATCTAATGCGTATGCGCGTGTGAAAATTGGAGTTTCACTCGTGTTACGTTAGGGGGTGGAATATGCACATGTGTTGGTGATGATTACGAAATTTCTTAATTTTATTGGAGTTTCACCACCCGTTTTACGTGAAATGGCGTAAAACTGGGTGAAAAAGGCGATATTCGCGGTGATATGCAGTAGTCGGGGAATATGTTTTTCACTAGTTTTTTTCATATCACGGTCGTGAAACTCAACTGTTGGTTCATGTACACTTTTACCCGAATTCGTATATAAACTGCTATTGTTGGTGAGGAAACTCCTGAGCTCAGCTGAGGAAAGGGAAGACATATTCCAACATTGGTTTAGTTCGACAAATAATTCTGGGAGTTGATTTTTTCTATGAACTACTGTGCGTGCGTTTTTTGCATTATGTAGTTTTACGCGTTTTACGTGAAGTGGAGTAATACTATATGTGAAAAACGCGGAGTGAATAGAAAATACTCTGCGAATTATGCGGGACAATTTACCCCACTCGAACACATTATCAGTTTTACGCGTTATTCATTGGATTTTCACGACTGTGATATGGATAACACGTTTCACGACTACTGAATATCACCGCGAATATCGCGTTTTTCGCCGAGTATTACGCCACTTCACGTAAAACGGGTCGTGAAACTCCATTGCGTCCTTTGCTACTGTTTCTCCATATCACGGGTGAAACTCCACAAAAAAGGGTTGACGTATTTTCTTACGTGAAGTGGTTTTACTCTACCTGAGAAAATTACCGCGCGCGACGAAATTATGTTTAGTTACATCCCGAGAGGCTCCCTAGTAGCTGATCCCTCGAGAGCTGTGCATGCAGTGAAAGGAGTTTCCTTTGCTGCTGATTCGGGACAAGTATTTGGGTTGTTGGGAATCAATGGTGCTGGGAAGACTACGACGTAAGTGCTTGTTGTTGTTATTGTTGTTGTTAACAGAAACGGCACGGTTTCAAATTTAGTTGTTCGAACAATTGATCTATGATTTTGACGATAAACGCGCGCGCCATTTTGATCGATTTGTATCAGATTCAAAGTTATGTGCGGACTGTATGCACCTACGGAGGGCGAGGTGTGGGTCGCTGGAACTACGGTTGGTGCAGATGTAGGGTTGGAAAATATGTTTGCTTCTCTCAGCAGTGGAGTTTCCTTACTACAGTGTGAACCAAGCAGTTGTGTAGATCTTGGTTTTTCGAGATGATTTTCGAAAGTTTAGACTATGGAACGTCGCTAATCGAATCACACTGTTAACATCAGTCTAAGTTCGTTTCCGAACTTTCGAAAATTCAACGCTTCGTGTAACGGTTTGATTCACACTGTATAGAATTTCGAAAACGGATTCGGGTAGAGGTGTACAGAAACGGGAAGGAATTTCCTCCGGAAAAATTCTCAAAATTTTCGTATTGTCGCCAATTTTTTCCCACGCTGATCGATTTCAGACTGCGAAGTGTCGAAGGAACCTCGGCTATTGTCCGCAGTTCGACGCGCTCCTGGATCAGATGACCACGAAGGAGCATCTTGAGCTGTATGGTCGTTTGAAAGGGCTGAAAGGACATCTCCTTGATAGTGCAGTTGGGAGTACGTTGAAGCAGTTGTCATTGGAAGCGTGAGGGCGTGGGTTCGATCCTCGGTGGCGATATTTTTCTGATACAGGTATAGGGATAAGCGCGCTGGAAGTCTAAGTGGAGGAAACAAAAGGAAACTCTCCGTGGGAATGGCAATTGTGAGTATTAGAGAGGATTTGGAAAATGAGAAGTGAAATGCAGTTCGGAATTTCCTATCATCCCAGCTCGAAATTTACGGAAATTTTGAAATTAAGGGAATTTTTTAATATCATTTTGGCATTCGTATAGGAAGAAATTCTGGTATAAACTCTTCATGCAATTCAGCGAGAAGAAACTTTCTCGGGAGTTTTTGGGAAAAAATTTTCGGTTGAAAAATTTTGTACTAGTGATTTAGTTTTTGGAAAATCGTCTTAAATTCAGATCGGTCGTCCTCGTATTGTATTCCTCGATGAGCCCAGCACTGGTATGGATCCTGTATCGAGACGCTTCCTGTGGGGAGTAATTCAACAGCTGGCAATCAGCCGCAAAAGTGTTGTGGTTCTTACAACACACTCTATG